GGTACGAGATGTAACAAAGGGGTAAAACGGTAATTTGATCCAGCTGTGGTTATGAACACTTGTGAAGGACTGACTTACCATTAATAGTAAAAATCCATAGACGCAAAATATTCTAAAGTGATAAGAGTGCAACTGCAGGTCTTTAGTGGAGTGACCAACAATTAACGAATGTTGATTAATATGGTTAATGAGTTTAATCAATTAATTTCGTATCGTTGGAGCTTATAATCTGTAGGTCCATTAGGTCCCCTTACTAGCTCGTAAATTATAGTTAAGAATATTTAGTCTTGGAAAGAATTTGAATTGTTCAAATTTGTTAAAGGGAATTAAAGTTAATCGTATAAGATGCAATTAATATAACGTATGTTTACATTATAATATAAAGTTCATTTTGAATTGGATTCAAAATGATGAAAGAGATGGATATTAGAATTTGATTCTAACATAGTTGTTTAATTTAATTAAATATGATTTAATTAAATTAATGGGATATGTTAATTTGATTAAATTAAATTTGATGTAATTTAATTAAATTAATATTTCTTTTTTGTAATTAAATTTAATTAATTAAAAATATTTTAATTAAATTACATAAAAGAAAAAAAAAAGAAGGAAATAATGAGAGGATTTGGTGGGAAGTGGGGAAGTTTGGGTAGTGGGAAGGTGGTGAGTGGGGAAGTTTTGCTTCTCCACCACTCTTCCTCCATTATAAAAATGGAGGTTCTCCCATCTTTTTGGTGATCGTCCAAACGTCGATTGGTTGAGTTTCTGAAACTCCAACAAGCAAATCTCTCTCTTGATTTCTCAGTTTCCCTTTCAATTATAAGACAGTTCCCACAAACCGAGTTCTTAACTTCTAGAGGATAGCGAGGAAGACTTTGTGGTGGCATTGACGTCTATATTGAAGAGGTGTCTTCAAACGTATGTATCACTAACTTCCTTCTTACTCATGCTTATGTCTTTTCTTTGTTGTAATTCTAAGACAAGATCGAAGTACACGCGTTCGCGCTCTTCCATTGCAGGATCTGATCCCTTCAAAGGCTTAGATGGTGTCGCCTGATRGGGAGCATGGCCTCTGAGGAGGTCATTCAAGAGGGGCTGAAGAAGTTGGACAAGCTTGTCCCCGTCGACGTTCCTGACGATGACCCTCTGGCTAAGGCCGTCCAGGTTGACCTCTCGAATGATTGAGCTTTGTTGCACTCCCTTCCTTATCTTTGTTGCTATTCCATTCCCTTTTTTATTTTTTATGACCATGGTTTTTTATGTACTACGAGTGGAGGCCTTCTCCTTAGGATTTTAATGAACCTTGGCGCATTTTTATCCCTTTGTGTTTTTGTCTTATCATTAATCAGTTGTCTATTCACGAGCTAGTATTTAGGCTTAATAACTTGATCGCTTTAAATTAACAAATGGCTTTTGAGCTCGTGCCCTAACCCTTTGGGCACTCGTTTGGCATCTTGCTCATTGTTAGCAAGGGTGGCCCCCATTTAAATATAGCTCGGTAAGTTTAGATCATGAGAGATATATTTAAATTGTATTGTCATGAGAGAAAATTTACACAGGTGGACATCTTTACACGAGTTTACTTTTAGGATTACTGCTCATTGGAGCTCGCCTCACATCCTTAGTGGTGGTAGGTTCGTAGGTGCTTCGCATTCCACAGATGCAGGAGTAGCTTTCCATCGAGGTCGGCCAGGGCGTAGGTTCTAGGTCATTGGACGTCCTTCACCTGGTATGGACCCTCCAATGTGGGTTTAAGGGCTCCCATGTGTTGGACTACCTTTCGAAAGACGAGGTCCCTAGGTCAGAAATTGCGAAGCTTGACCCTTGAGTCGTAGTATCACTTTATCCGGCCCTGGTACTCCGCGACTCTAGTTGGGAAGTTTCTCTCTCTTCCTCTAGGAGATCGAGGTTCAAGAGGAGACCCTCGCTATTCGCTTATTCTTTGAAGTCCTCAGTTTGAGTTGTTGGAAACCCAACCTCGACAGATACGACTGCTTCCGACCCGAATGCCATCGCAAATGGGATCTCACTAGTCGAATTTTGCTTGGTTGTCTGATATGACCACAACACCTCCGAGAGCTCCTCTGCTCACCGACCCTTTTGGATCTTCTAGCCTTACTTTCAACCCACACTTGATTATTTTGTTTACGGCTTCTACCTGACCATTGGCTTGTGGGTGGGTAAGGGACAAGCTAAAGTTCTTTATCCCAAGCTTTCCGCAAAATTCTTTAAACTTGGGGTTGTCAAAGTACTTTCCATTGTTGGACATGACAGTGTGAGGTATGCCGAACCTACAAACTATGTTGGTCCGCACAAAGCTCGTGGTTTTCGCTTCAGTGATGGTAGCCAACGGCTCGACCTCGACCGACTTAGTGAAGTAGTCAACGGCTACCATAGCGAACTTGGTTTGGCCTTTCCCAATGAGCAGCAATTTGATGAGGTTTATCCCCCATTGGGCGAAGGGCCACGGGCTTGTGATTGGTGAGAGGAGCTCCGACGGTTGGGAGATCATTCCAAACCTCTAACATCGATCAAACTTTCGAGCAAACTCTTTCGCATCCTTCCATGGTGGGCAAATAGTAGCATTGCTTTACCAATTTGGTAGCTAGAGATCGACCCCCTGAGTGATTGCCGCAAATCCCTTCATGAAGTTCTCTCATTGCGTAATCTACTTCGTCGGCATCTAGGCATCTTAGTAGGGGGAGAGAGAATCCCCACTGGTATAGCTTGTCACTGTGGAGGACGTACCTTACCACTTTTTGTCTCATCTTTCTAAGCTGGGCTTGATCTGAAGGTGGCTCACCATGTAGGAAGGCCTTTATAGGGTTCTCTAGGTTGGGTCCTTGACTTCTACGTTGCTCACCTCTAACTCGAAGATCGAAGGTGGGTTGAGAATTTCCACCAAAACCGATCTGGGGAGCTTTATTTGGTAAAAGGATGCTAGTTTGGCCAACGCGTCCGCGTTAGAATTTTTGGATCTGGGTACCCGCTCTATGGTGTATATCTTGAACCAAGTTAGGAGCTCACGCACTTTGCACAAATACTTCTCCATTTGACTGTTATCAACTTGGTATTCCTCGTTTATCTGATTCACCATGAGTTGAGACTCACTGCAGTAACCAGGTCTATGGCCCTCATAGCTTCCACCATGCACAGACCCGCAATCAGACTTCGTATTCAGCCTTGTTGTTCGAAGCTCGAAAGCTGAACCTTTTAGCATACTCAAGGCATGCTTCGCTTGAGGATTGGAGAARAACGTCACCCATACCCTTTCTCATTAGAAGATCCGTCCACATATTATAGTGCATCGATCCTAGCTCGATCCATTGGGGTTTATTGGGAGGGTCAGCTCGGCGATGAAATCTGTGACCGCTTGACCTTTCATTGCGACCCTTCATTCGAAGCTTTTGTCGTACTCGCTTAATTCAAGGGCCCACTTCATGAGTCTTTTGGATGTTTTTAGGCTTTTGGAAGACTTGTTTGAGGGGAAAGTTTGTTAGGACAGTCACCTTGTGGGTATGGAAGTACGGGCGAACATGTCGCGCTGCCGCGACCAAAACTAACACCAACTTTTCCACTTGCGGGTAGCAAGTCTCAACATCAGTCATTGCCTTACTCGTATAGTATATTAGGTTTTGCCAACCATCGTCTTACTTGATCAAGGCTGAGCTTATCATGCTCGCCGATACTCACTCACTAAATTTCTTGAAATATAAACAATAAATTGTATTGTATTAATGAGTTTCCTCCATTGTGTTAAAATTTTACCAACAGAAGTCAATTTGGTCACTTTCTAAAAGTACAAGAATTAAAGTGGACAAAAGTTTGAAGTATATAGACTAAAATGAATGTTTTGAAACTACATGCATGAATCAAAATGAACCAAAGTAAAAAATATCAATATTCATGGGTTTCCCATCCCAAAACAAATTAGCAATGGGAGAGTAGTCTACTTATATTAAAATTTGGCCATATCTCATTTTTAAACCGGATGTTCATTTGAAATTTTTGGACTCTGATACTATATTAATATTCACATAGTTCCATCTTAAAGTCAATTAGCAATGAGATGATAGTTCACTTATATTATAAACTCTTATTATGTCTTTTATGTTTTCAATGTGGGATCTTTAACCTATCATCTCAAAATTGTAACTCTTTTTTTTTACTCGAAAACCTAGGAAACAAAACAATATTTAATCTAATTTTATACTTTCACTTTTGAAATATTGGGGTGGGAATTGTGGTTGAAAAAACTTGGGGTAACAGACAAGGGAAGGAGAGTGATTGGTCTGAGTCTGAGAAGTTAGAAGGGAGGATACTTTTTTTTTCTTAATCTTTAAGGTTGGCCTCACACCCAAAAGTCAAAAAAGAGAGAGAAAACAGTGGGTCACAAAAACAACTCACAGATCACAACTGCTACTCCTAGGTCTCTACTTTCTCAAAAAACCAAGACAATCATCCAATACATTTCAATGGTTCAGATTTCTTTTTCTTTTTTTAGTTCAAAATAGCATAATTATTGCCACCCCATTTCCAGACTGTAAGGACCACAGCAAAATGCAGTTCATCATCAACAGGAACCCAAAAAAAAAAAAACAAAAAAAACAAAAAAATCTCAAATTAAAAAATATATAGAACTAAACTGGGGTGTTTTACCTGTCAGAGTTGAGTAGTATCTTTTTACTTACCACCATTAAAAGATGGACAACTATTTATCAATATTCATAAGAGTCAATCTTAAAACCAACCAAAAATTGAGATCTTTAACCTGCCCTTCAGGATCGTAGCTGTCGGATCTCAGTTTTGAATCGAATGCTGGTTTGAGTTTGTTGGATTCTGATATTATATTAATATTCATGGATTTCATCTCAAAATCAATGGGCAATGAGAGRAGTAGTCCATGTCTATTATAAATATTTGTTAGACCTCTTATCTTTTCAGCGGGTGGATCCTTTAACAGTTACCACCGGTATTCTATTTTATCCAAATACATAAGAGAGAGAAAGGAAGAAGCAATTAATAATGAGGTACATAGGTTATTCTCAAAACCAGCTTAATGCATGCACATGCAGCAGCAGCTGGCCGAGAGAACTGAATCTCAATTCTTAGAAGAAGAGTCCTGATGGAAAGAGAAGGGCAGTACCGTCTAATTACATCACAAACCATAAAAGACATGAAGAAATTAAAAAGAAAAAGAAAGGCTCTTCTTTTACAGACATAATTAATTAAAACACAGTGTTTTCCAAGGTCCACCAAGGAAGCCCCTTGAACACAGAGACACGAGGGAGAATAATATTGGATGATGATGCAGAGGGTAAAATGGTAAAATACTGAGAAGTAAAAGGGCAGCATGGTGAAGAAAGAGAGAGATGAAGTTGACCTAAGTCCTAACCATGGTTGGTTTGGTAGGGTTAATTAGTGAAGAGAAGAAGCCAAAAGGGAACCCAAATATCTCCCAATGGCTCACATGCAAAATGCTTCAATTTTGAGCTCCATAATCCCATTAATGGACTCTCAAAATCTCATGGATGCTGAAACTGAAAAACTCATAAACTATCCTAATTTCTAATTAAAGAAAAAAAAGAAAAAAGTTAAACCAAGAGCAATATTTCTGCTCTGATTTACCAAAAACGGGGCTGTAACTCCCAAAGTTACACCCACGGTTAATCCTGATCTGTGAATTTGTAATTACAGAGGAATTGAACTAATTAAACTAATTAAACTAATTAATGATAATGCTCTACCCCTTGCCCCAGGGGAATATGTCAAACTGGGTTGGTTGATTAGACCAAATCACTATTACTAAATTAATTTGTAAAAAAACCAAAAAAAATGTTTAAAAGAGAGAGGGAAGAATGGGGGGCATCCATTGCCCCCCAACCCCTTTGAAAATTTTGAAAAATTTTGAAGAATTTTCCCTAGTTGAAATTTAATTACAGATCCAAAACTTGAGTGGTGGGTGGGATGCTATATTTTTGAATAATGTACAATTTTTTTTTTTTTTGGCAAACCCAAGTAGAAGAAGAAGTAGTGGTGGTTTTGAAAAGCTTCAGAAGAAGAAGTTGACAAATTAAAACGACAACGTATGTGCAGAGATTGCTTGATCTCACAATATATGAAGTGGGGGATTTGGTTGTCTTGATAAAAGGAACCATTTTGGGGAAGAAAAATGCATGATTTTGTTGGTTGTAATAAGAGCCCCTAAGGGGGGCTGGGGAAATTAAAGCCCATAATAATAAATGAAGAAGAAGAATAATGCATTGCAATGCATTGCCCAAAAGCATAGCATATCCCAAATGCTATGGATTTGGCTAAGTGTTGGTTGGTGTTAGAGAGAGAGATAGAGAGAGAGAGAGAGAGAATTAACCATGGTTAGGGCGAAGGTGGTTGGGTTTGGGTCTGGTTTGGTTTACTTTGGAGAAGCAAATTTGACTGACGATTTGTCTGTCTAGCGATGAGGGATCGGAGCAGGAAGAGCCATGGTCACGCCTGTGGGACAGCAAAAAACACTGTCAAAGATATTAGTACGTCTTTCAATACAATCACAACTTACATGACATGATACTTAGTTCATCGTAAATTTGAAAGAAGAGTTGAGTTACGTGAAAGAGTAAACAATTGAAATATCTTACAATTTACCATTTCTAAGAAATTTAGAGTAGTAACTAGAGCTTGGTTAAAAAATTATACTTTTGGTCCATGTATGATGCACGAGTAATGATTTAGGACCTGTAATAATTTAGTTTCTATAATTTGGAAATTTAATCATTATCGTGAGAAATCTTGTCAAAATTAAGTGTTGATTCTTATTATAGAACGATTTAGTATTTGTCAAAATTAACAGGGTAGGATTACCCTATCGTGTAAATTTGAAAAAAGGTATACTTAAAAATTTGTGAAACATAACATAATGGACCAAAATTGAAAAGTTTTAAAAACAACACAAACCTAATGGCAATTCGAATGTATCATGATCAAATCGTTACTTCAACGAAAATACAAGGACTAAAAGCGTTCTAGTCTTAAAATTTTTCTCTAGAGATAGCATAATTCTCCTCCTAAAGTGACTAAGCAACATTTCATATCATTTGAAAAGAGTATATAATTGAAAAATGGTGAAACGAAAGGACTAAAATTGAAAAGTTTTAGAAACAACCCAAACATAACATCAATTTGAAAGTATCATGACCAAATCGTTACTTCAACGAGGACCAAAAGCATTTTTTATTCTTCTCGAGAACCGACTAAGTATCATGTCGTGTAATTTGAAAAGGGTATATAATTGAAAAGCGGTGACACGAAAAGGAACAAAATTGAAACTTTTGCACAAATTACCTGATGGCAAGGTGGGGGGCGTGGGAGGGAGAGACATGGGAGGAGCAGCGTAGTGCTGAGGGAAGCTTGTTGCAGACGAATTAATGGCGGCTGAGTACTGAAAAAGGTGGTGAGGATACTGCACGCCGTAGCCGCCCTGCTGCCCCGAACCGGCGGTGAATCCGTTGCCGCCTCCGCCGCCGCTTCCTTCCCCAAATTGGAAATACGGGTAGAACGCTGCCGCCGCTGCCGCAGCTCCGTTCATTATGCCGCCGGGACCTGTTCCGTACATGGGGTACTGTGCAGTTGCCCCGCCGTACACATTGTAGTAGCTCTGCAGCCAAACAAAGACCATGAACAAAAAAACCAATCACGTGATAAATAAGAACACTCCCATTTTTGTTTTACCATACCATCAATGTTAGATTGACTTAATTCTACTAGTTCCATCTCACATTCTCATGTGTTATACTAAACATTGTAGAGTGAATCGACATTTTCGTTATATCATAAATAAATTGACAAAACACAACAATATCAATAAAATGTTTGAGCAAGATTTCAATTTCCCAATATTAAACTTATTTAAAATGGATGAAAAATTTATGTTTAATTAAATACTATTTTGATCTATACCTACTTTTGACTTTGGTTTATTTTGATCAAATGCTTTTGAATTATTGTAATTTTTGCTTATTTTAGGCTATTATACTTTCAAACCGTCTATTTTCATCATTCTGTTTTTAAAAAATAACTAGTAATGATTTAGTGTCTATTTGTAAAATTTTAGTACAATTTTTCTTAGTACAACAGGTGGGATGAGAGAATTCGAAGTCATGACCTCCSCTATCAAAGAGACAAGTATCAATTATCACTTAGCTGAGGTCATGTTGACTTTAACACAAAATTTATACCTAATGAAAATCTTTTAAATACAGATTTATGACTATATTTCAAGAAATTTAATAAATATTGGAGTGTCATACTAAAGTTATCACGAAAAAAATGAAAATGAAAAGACCAAAATAATCACTAAGTACATTAATATTATGAAAACACAGTTACTAAAGGCATAAAAGTTAAAAAAATACCTAACCTAAATATATATTTAAAAGTATAAGAACCATAGTGAATCAAATCCAAAATATACAATAATATTTAAACCGAACATTTATTTATTAAAAGTTAAAAAAATACCTAACCTAAATATATATTTAAAAGTATAAGAACATGATGAATCAAATCCAAAATATACAATAATATTTAAACCGAACATTTATTTATTAATTTAGATAATATTTAAAAACAAAAAGTAGTAATAAAATTGTTTTTTAAAGTAGTGGGGTGGGAGTGGGGAATTAGATGATTACAGTTGCATGGAAGAACGTGTAAAGAAAGAAACTGTAACAAACAAAGTGATTCACTGTTACATAGTAAATGTAGGAACAAAAACTGTCGGAGAAGACGACAAGAGACAGAAAAAAAAAAATACCAGAATGGGGTCTAAAAAATTAAAAAAAAAACTTTACTTTTCAACCCTTTGACCACTCTCACGAATATTACAAATTTACCATTTCTTTTTTTTTCTTTGTTTGGATAATTATTATTCTCGTTTAAATACACATATCCATGTCGTTGTTCTAAAAAAGTATCATTGGATTTAATTATTTTTATTTTATTTTTACTTGAAAGATATTTGAAGAACAGAAGAGATATGTAGAGAAAGGAAGGAAGTTTGTACAAACCGTAGGATAAGTGTAGTCGGGCGAGTAGGAAGAGTACCTGAAAAACAACGATTTATCAAGAAATTAGCCAACTCTTCATTTTTTTCCATTAACTTTTCATAGTTTGAATTTGATTTAGATTATACTATTATTTAGTACAATTTCAAATTCTATGCTATATAGGATAATAACTATACCTACTCTATTGACTCTTGATGAGTAGAAATGTTCTTTTGTCAGTAGGAGGGATAAATGTAGAAAAAGAACATTTTTTTCTTTTTTATTTTCTACTAAAGATGATCAATACTGACTAGTAAACACCTAAAGTATTGTACGACTAATTTTTAGTAGTCGTAAGTAGTAAAAATCATGCATATTGCATAATAATCATCCTTCATTTGAAAATACGTATTTATTTTAATTACTACAAAAAGACGAGACGTGAATAAAGCGATACATGCAAATGCAAATGCATGCATGGGGTAGAACAAAAGAAAAGGAGGAGGGCAAAAAGAAGCAAAGATTCATCAATGACACATGAGATGAAAACAAGTTTTGTAGCAACTTAAAGAGGAAATTGGAATTGAATTGTAGAGTGATTAAGAAGCAAAGACAACTTTTTTTTTTCATTTTTTTTTGTGGGTTTGTAATAAAGTAAAGTGAAGAGAGAGAGAGAGAAAAACATTGTTACCCATAGAGATTGTAAGGGATCCCTTGCTGGACAGCATAATGAGGAAAAGTTGCAGCTGAATGAAAAGCTGATCCAACATTCCCTCCAAAGCCACTCTGGAAAGAGCTCAATACCCTAAAATTCCTCCCTCCTCCTCCTCCTGTCAATTCCCATTTCTTTTTCTCTTTATTTTCCCACACAATTTTAAACCACAACAAAACCAAACGCAAATCAATTAATCCATCTAACTTTATAACAAATTAAATACCATCATTTATCACATGAAGTTTCATCTTGTATCGGTAAGCATCGAAGGATTGTTATTTGATAGATCTAAAAAAGCTGGGATTATTTTAATACCGTGCTTAGGCGTGGAGGGTTTGGATCTCTGGACGCCGAGGGAAGCAAGGTTGCAGTTGGCCCTCCGGCCGTCGATGACCGGAGCAGCGTCGACGCAGGCCCTCATCGCAGCCTCGGGCTCGCGGAAAGTGACCTGAAACTCAGGATCCATTTGGTAAGAGTTTTAGCAGAGATAAGCTAGAGACGTTACAAGGGTTTATCAAGATAGGACTTACGAATCCGTAGCCCTTGGATCGGCCGGTGGCCTTGTCGGTAATGACGACGGCTTCCAAGATGTCGCCGAACTGCTCGAAGTATTTCTTCATGGTGTCCTTGTGGGTTTCCCAGGCCAAGCCGCCGACGAAGACCTTGGTGTAAGTGGTGTCCCCAAACTGAGTTGCCAAGTTAGCTGGAGTCATGATCTTCTTCTATTCTTCAACAACCTAAAACAAACTCTCAAATGGGTTATAAATCTAAATTCAAGTTTTGGGTTTTTTGGCTTGGATGGATCGGAGGCGATGAGAGGTGTGGAGAGAGAGAGAGGGAGGAATGGAAATAATGGGAATGGAAATGGATCACAGAGACAATTAGGTCAGAGATGGAAACAAAAGCGAAAGTGAAATGGGAGAGAGGGAGGAGGAGGGAAAGAGAGCAAAAGTTAGAGAGGAGAAAAAAATAATGTTTAAATACTCTGGACCCAAAAGCTTAAATTGGTTCGAAGGCAGTACCTCTCGCTCTGATATCATGTTAAAGATAAATAAATCAATATTCAACCGAATATTTTAAGTTGATTGGTTCATGAAAATACTTGCTTTTTAACGGTGATGACCAAATCTTACTCTCACCACTATTAAAATTTTGACAATTCATTATTTTCTTTAAAAATCCATGTTTTTGAATTTTTCAAACTTAATTATCCAACATTTAATAGGGATGAGGACAAAGTTGCTTTCTATGGCTAAGGAGCCAAAAATTTTCTTTTTAATTTATATATGGATATATATCTCCACATAATGACACTTTTCATTGGCTAAAATCCTCGGAATGCAATCATAAACTTGTATTAAATGGTTTTTATGGGTATAAAATCTTATAAATAAAGATGAACATGATATTTTAAAAATATACATGAATTGAAACATACGTTTTTCAAATATGAAGAATAAATATTGAAATTATAGGAATCAAAAGTGGACTTGAAAGTACGTAATCCAAAAAAAATTAGCTGTAAATTTTGAGTTGACGTCAGCAAGAAGATACCTATCTATCGATGTAGATATAAATTTTATCCTTATAAAAACTAAAAAAAAAATGAAAATTGGAGAAAAAAGAGAAGAAAAAAGAGAAGAAAAAAAGTGAGAGGGAGGCAGGAAAGACCCTCTAGTAATACGGACGTGAAATAATAATATATACAGAGGAGAGAGGGCACCAAAGAGGCAGGCAGGCAACACCATCTTTTTCATTTTTATTATTATTTTTTAATTTAATTATGGGGGAAGTCCACGCGCGATGGGGGCGCGTGTCAGGATGTGGGTATGATTGAGAATGAAGGGGGAATTGGCGCACGCGCCATGATGGACGTGGGTGTGTCAGACGGGAGAGGGAGAGGGTGTATTATTATGTCCCTCATCGCTGTCACTTCGACTATTTTATGGGAATCCCGAAACGCCCTCGCTTTTTCTCTTAATTACCCAAAATGCCCTTTTCATCGTCATAGCTTAGCTGTTATACGGGACGGAGAGGGGAAACCAAACGGAACGGACGGAACGGAGGAGAATGGTCAACGGTCAACGAAATTTCTGATGGATATGGATGGGTACATCTGACCGGATGGGCCCCACCCGGGCCCAACAACTGGAAACTCGGGTCGCCCGGCTACCCAAATGGTCCAAATCCAGCTGTTTCCTTTCTTCTTTCCCACAGATTCCTTTTCTTCTCTTTAACCACTTTCCTTTCGTTTTTTTTTTCTCTCTCCAGAAATACCTTAACTCTAACTCTACCAAAATATGACGGGTGGAATATACTTTTAGTCTGAAATTTGAGTTTAAAGATGTAATTCTATTTGGTTCCTATGTGGTGGTATAGTTCTCAATTATTAAGAAATTTTGTTCAAAAAAGTCTTTAGAAACAAACTGTTGTGGAGGGACCAAGTGATATTGTTTGACGTATTAATTTTAAATGATATCGTGTTTGAGTTAAAAAAACAAAAACAAAACAGACAAAAGGAAAAAATGAAAAGACTGAACTCCAAATGAAGACTATCGATAGTGACTATCAGAACCAGGGTTTAGCCTTGCCACCTGGTTAGCGAAAACTTGCAATCTGGTGACCATCACTACTCGTGGATCGCGTCGGCAAATGCCAACTTCATGAGTGATAACTTGACTCTATAAACCTTTTAGAATCATTTCGTAAAACTTGGAAAATAAATTGTTAGTTTTTTAAACTTAGGGACCAAAAATTTATTTTATCCCAACGTTACTAAATGGAGGTACCCACTAAATATAAATGTGAGGTAGTATGATTTCTCCCATAAATCCAATGATATTAAATTGTTAGTCATATTGTGACAGGCCTTCCTCAATAATTTCTCGACTCCATACCCTATCCTTATATCAAGTTTGTGTATACCATCACTATTATTTATAATAAATGTAAACTGACGTTTTAAATATTCAACCTATAAAAGAGATTATTAATTAGTATATGTTGATATGTATATGATATACTATTTTAAATACGTTGCTATCCTAGATTTTAAATTAGTACTTTTTTTCCTCCTCTTCTTCTGCCCAAGGACCACTCAGCCATAGCTTTTGTCTAATTTATAACTCAATTTATGGTAACATTGTAGGGGTATCAAATATTTTCATAGAGATGAGGATTGAGGAGTCACTCGAATTGGCTTGGAACGAGGATTTTTTTATAATATTACTAAAGTTATAACTATCATGAGAAAACTCCAAACTTATTTTAAAAATAATGGATTCTAAAAGTTTTTAAATATAACACCACCTCACTGTAAGTCGTCTCCTCGAGGACTTATCGTCTCTTTAAGAGACAATATAGGTCGTGTATGTTAAGGAGAACGATACCCCAAGTATCTCCACAATGGTATGATATTGTCCGCTTTGGGTATAACCTTCACGACTTTGGTTTTGGTTTCACCCAAAAAGTCTCATACCAATTGATATAATTGTCGCCTGTTATATACCCATAATTATTCACTTCTCTAGCCAATGTAGGACTTTGTTTCAATCACCTTACAAACCCAACAGTATACGTATAAAAGAAAAAAAACACATTTGTCTGGGAAGTCGAGGATCACCATGCCGTTCAAACAGCTATAGATCGTGTCCAGAAGCAGTTATCACTACTGAAGTCACTGTCGTTGGCTTATCAATTTGAGTGTTGTTGGAGGGAGAGGGGCTTGGGTCGGGCAGCTTGAGGGAGAGGGTGAAGGTGGTCTCGCCACGAGAGAAAGAGATAGAGATAAAAACTAGGGCTTTCAAATATATTATTCCAAATATAATAAAACTATTTAAATATTTGAAATAAATAAACTATCTAAAAGGAATCGTCTCAAATATATTATTTTAATATAACAATTATATTCAAAATAATAATGCATGATAGACATAAATTATGATGAGGTTTTAATCTAAATGACATAGTTTATGCCACATTCAAATAATTTAAACATACATCAAATATATATAATTAAAATAAAAAATAAAAATTAGCAAATTGACCGATATAATTGGCATATCCTAGAATTAAAGACTTAAATTAAATAAATATAACATCTGAATTTCAAAGACATATTTTGGTCTTTAACTTCTTACACCGATCCATCAAATTTAGAGTTCAATTCATCTTTCATTGAAATCTATCTCCTTCAATCTGAATAGCAGTTTGCTATGACTATGGCGAATATTCTATTTTTTTTGGTGACAAATCTTCTCTTTTCGTTAGGGCAACAAAAGTAAACTAAAATAAATAGTGCACTTCGAAAAATCGCTAAAAGTCGTTTCAAATATTTTGATAGTTGCTAACTGAGAGTTATAGTAAACAAAATCGTCAAAATTATAATATAAGTCTCAATTTTATTTAGGATAGATATATGACCCTCCACAGGGAAAAAAAACCATGAAATCTAACTTAGATTTTCTTTAATTTTTTTTTTGAACTTTTAGATTTAGCAAAAATATCAAAATGAACTATAAATATAAATTATTATAATAAAAAGGCCAATATAAAAAAAACGAACAATATTATAATAAAAAGATCAATATAAAAAAAACGAACAATAATTTAGTGTTAAAAGTATTAAAAATTACTGCAACTAAATTTGGAAAAATGAGATTGTGTAGGATTATAGGACAAGACTAGAGGGTTTCTTTTTAAAAATAAAAAGTTAAATTCAACAGTAACAAATAATTAGAGGTGTTCAACAAATCCAACAACTCGACGAACCAAACCCAAACCGTAAGGATTTGGTTAGGTTAGATGAAGACATGGGTTGGGTTGGGTTGAAAAAATTCCAACCCGATCGAGTCGGTCGGGTCGGGTCAAGCGTTCACCATGTAAAAATTCGAATTGGTCCGACCCAACTCGAATAGCATATATATTAATATATATATTTTTTCTTTCCTTTTTGAAGTTAAAAATAATAAAAGTAATAAAACATGTGCTTCAATCTCAACCTTTCATTTTGTTTTAATCCTAGCCATCTATTTAATATCTAGGGTTTTGAAGTTTTAACTTTTCATCTCTCTCCTTCACAATCTCAGATCATTATCTTTTTCTTTCTCCATTTTCACTACCCATTTCTCCATCTTCCATTTTCTCCACCCTCTCCCTTCACTACCATAGCAGTCTGTGGGGAAATTGACTCAAATGACTTCCAAAAACTTTTGAAATGCTCAAATGACCCAACCCCCTTTAATTATGCCCAAATGACCCAGTTTTAACATTGATGATGTGTCAGAAGCAGGTGAAATGACCAAAATGCCATTAAATGTAACAGGTGACCGCTGGAATAATTCCCGGCCGAGGTAGAAAAATTCCCGCCCGAGGTAGCTTCAATGCACGGCAAAACCAATTTAATGCACACCGACTTGTACCTTAGTAATCAGTACATGCCATTACTAATCCCAGAGAACATATGTCCTTATCGTAAATATTCTCTCTGCACAATCCTAAAAAATCTGAAAAGTATTGTGAATATTCTCTTTAGAAGTTTCAAGATTTTGGGAGAAGTAGTTCTTTATTTTTTATGCTTTCTCCTTTTGCGCGTTAATCTTGCTTGATTCTACATTTGAACACATGTGTTTTTATTTGATCCTCGTTTGGTTTATTTTTGTTACAGTCGGAGTAACAATAACTATTGTTATTTTGTTTTAAACCCATATGTTCATTCCTCCTGCACTATGCATTCTAATTGTCGGGTTATTCTCGAGCGAGGTGATATGATTATCGGCCGAGATTCATGTTTTTGATGAACCTCGGGCGAGGTACTAAACTTTCTCGACCGGGGTCAGAGGTTTTCAAAACGGAATGTTTGTTAAACTTACCTCGGGCTTGGCTGTGTATTGAACTCCACCTCGAGCGAGAAAATATGTTTCTCGCCCGAGGTTGATGTATATTATATATATATATATATATATATTACATC